AAAAAAAAAAAAAGAAATACCTTCTGGGCGGCACCCATGGCTCAGAGGAGTAGGGCACTGGCCCCATATGCTGGAGGTGGCAGGTTCAAACGTAGACCCAGGCAAAAACTGCAAAAAGAAAAAAAAGGAAAAAAAAAAGAAATATCTTCCCAGAGCGGTGCCTGTGGCTCAGTGGGTAGGATGCCAGCCCCATATACCGAGGGTGGCAGATTCAAACCCAGCCCAGGACAAACTACAACAAAAAAATAGCTAGGTGTTGTGGCGGGCACCTGTAGTCCCGCTACTCAGGAGGCTGAGGCAAGAGAATTGCCTAAGCCCAAGAGTTGGAGGTTGCTGTGGGCTGTGTGATGCCACAAGCACTCACACAAAGTGAGACTCTGTCTCTCCAAAAAAAAAAAAAAAAGAAAAGAAAGAAAGAAAAGAAAAGAAATACCTTCCCGCCAACAATTGGGCATCACAGTCTGGCCCAGCTGACACATAAAAGTAGCCGTCAGAACCATGATGATGGTGGTGGTGAGGGTACTACTTATTTCGTTGGGCTATTGAAAGAATCAACAGGTTAGAATGTATTAAACACTTAAGAGTGTGCTGGGCCCTCTGCATCTGAGGCTGTTGCCCTTACTAAGCGTCAGTTTCCTCATCACAGCAACAAAACACTCCCACGATATCCTAATAGGAGCCCAACAGGGAGCCACTGATCTCAGCTGGCAGTTTAAGCAAACCTTTTTTTATAGAGTAACCCCACTTGGCTTATTTCTCATGGAACATCATGCAGATCCCCATAGATACACTGGCTGCCGGCAGCGCTGCTCCTGCCGAAGCCAGGACACCAGTCCCCACTCTGCAGGTCCCATTGCACCCCATCTGGCAGAGGACTCTCAGTCCCAGTGCTCAAAACCTTGAAGTCTGTGCCCCACCCCACCCCATTGCATAACTCACTAGGTCCACAGAATCATCTCTGCTCCCTAAAGCATGGGGTGAGGGGTGGGTTTTGACTTTGAGGAGGTGGCTAAATCTGCATGTGCCACCATGAGGGAAGGGCCACCCACCAAAATTCGAGGAGCCCCAAGCCTCAGACAAGTCGTTCATTTTCCTTGAGAAACCGAGGCCATCCTTTGGTGAAGGAGCAAATGGGTTCAACATTTTGTTTCTATTTCTGTGTAAACCACTGCCCTGGAAAGAATGGTTCTCTTTATGGGTGAAGCACAGCACGACAAAAGCAAGAGATTTGATGTGATTCAACAGGTAAAACATTTGTGGGTATTTTTCAAAAAGACACACGTTTCACTTGTTTGGAGCCCAAAATGAAAGGGATGTGTGTGTGAGAGAGAGCAAGAGATCACACCAGTTACCGTTTAAATTACCAACTGGGCACAATGACTCCACACCTGTAATCCCAGCACTTTGGGAGGCCAAGGTAGGAGGATCACTTGATGCCAGGTGTCACTGGCATCGGGACGACAGCAGCAACCAGATTGCCACTTGCACCCTGACACTCAACAGCTCAGCACACATAGGCCCCTTGGAATAAGACCCAGGTTGGAACTAGGGAAAAACCTCAAACTGAGATTAAGTAATCCGTCACCCAGGTGCAGTGAGGATTCAAAACAAAATTCAGCCGATTTATAGGAGAAAAAAATGAAAAGGAAGACGCTGCATTTTGTGGACATCTGAAGCATAAATTGCTTTTTTTTTTTAACCTACTGTGCTTGACAAATATTTATTGACTGAATTGTGAATGAATGTCGAGCCGCTGAGGCTTCTTTGAAGCCTCAGTTTTATTCTGTCCTGATTTAATTATCAGAGCACATCTCTCTCCCTGACTAGATTGTCAATTGCTTGCAGGCAAGGACCTGGCTTGTTCAGTTTCACATCCTGCACACACATCCTCTACACAAACGATCACTGCCTGAGTGTTTGACTTAATTACGATGTAAGTGTGTGGCATTTTTCTCCAGGCTTCAAGATCTAAAGGCCCCCCTCAGCCTAAACTCCCCTCCCTTTCTCTCTCACCTCTTCACAGAGCATAAAAATTGCCAAAGCCTGGTGAAAAAGGAAGGCAGGGGCCCCTTCAATGCTGCTATCCAGTGTGGAGGCACAGGAAGATGAATGAGTGTATTGGGATTCGGGGCGTGTCTACGTGCAGCAGATGAACCCTGCCCTGCTTAGCAGTCATGACCCCTGACATAGTCGGAGGTTTAGGGGAGGAAGATCAAGTTCATCAAGGAGGTAGGGGGTCTGTCTGAAACAGACACTCGAGGGCAGGAGGCACAAGGTCACGTGTCCTGGGAGCCACTGGAGATTTACAGTATCCAAGACTTGGGGCTTCCCAGAGATGGCGCCCAGAGTCATGGGTGGTATTCTAGGCCTTCGTGACTTGAGCATTTTGGCTGGCTCAGCCCACCAGGCTCTTTGCCAGGCCCCTTTCTGTGGCCCTGGCTCCAGCGTGCTCACTGGCTGCTGTGGTCACAAGCTAACGTTTTATTCTGGGTCCTCACGGCAATACTTAGATATTATTCTGCCCAAGAGCTCTGCCTGCATAGATATGGATTTTGTCTGTCGGCCTGTGTTTTTAAGTTATTCCCCTTGTGCCTGTCCTTCCTCTGTGGCCGAAGGTCAATGCCTGCTGGCTGGCCGGCCTCGCTCTGCCTCTCTGGCTGGAGCCCTGCCGCTGGCTTCCAGGCCACAGTTTGAGTCTCAGCTCTGCCACTGACTAGCTGGGTGACCTTCGCATGTTACTTAAGCTGTTGGAACCACACGAATGATATCCTCCCCGGTCCTCTCCTCTTGCCTCTGGGCTCCCACAGCCGGATGCACTTGGCACTGATTGCCCCATGTCACAAAGATCTGCTGGCCCACCTGCCGCCCTCAACAGGCTAGGAGCTCCCTGAGGCCTGGTAGAGGCGTCTTTTTGCCATTTCCATGCCCTGCCCTGTGCCTGGCCCTGAGGGGTGACCTAAGGAGGGTGGGCTCCTGTCCCTCTCCCCTCCTGTCTCTCCTCCTTTTCCCCTGTGTGTACAGCCCCAGTGTCTTCCCTCCTGCCATTTCTTCTTCCTTGGCCTGTGTGGTGGGGGCTTTAGGGGATGAATAATGCCAGGCAGAGACTGAGATGTTGCAGGGGGGTTTATTAAAACCAGGTGAGTCACCCCAATACCTGAGAAGGCACATGCATGTTCCAGATACCTGACCGCTGCCCTGGTGGCCTTGCCCCACCCAACCCTCCTCCTCTTCACAAGGGGACATTTTGTTGCCTTTACTGTGGCCAGTGATAGATCAGAGAATGATGATGGCCAGAGCACAGCTAATGGGTTGGATTTGGGGATAGAGTCAGTTTAGTGGTTGGAAGGAATTGGGTTGGGATGTAGAGCAAAGGAGAACCAGGTCTGACCCAGACGTGCAGGCCACAGCGACAAAGGACCACACGTCTCCCTGTTCCCAGGGTGATGACGTTCCACAGGGAGCCCCCTTGTCAGGTATGTGGAGCCAACTTGAACATCCCACCCCCAGCCCCTCAGCCTCTCCTGCCCACCTCTCATAAACCAAGCAGACACTCAAAAGCAAACTCTACATGGCTACATGAGACTCAGCCCCCACTTCCCGGGTCCAGGGCCCAGGTTGGGGGGGATGGGGCTGCAGGAGCTTAGCCCTGGAACCCCAGCTCCTTGTACTTGGCAGCGATGTCATTCCGGAACAGCTCTAGGGCCTTGCTCATGGCTCCCTGGACATCAGTGCCGAAGTCCCCAGAATGCTTATTCTGTAGAACATGGATGATGGCCTCTGAGATGAACTGCAGGGGGAGGAGAGGGATGCTGGTCACCGGGTGGAACCAGATGGGAGCCAGAACTCGTCCTGCCTTCTCTTTATTCCAGAGCTCTTTACTGAGCACTTAGTATGCACCAGGTGAAGTTCTGTGTGATCTCCATGGATTAACACCTTCCCTTCGGGGCAGCGCCTGTGGCTCAGTCAGTAGGGCGCCGGCCTCATATACCTCGGGTGGCGGGTTTGAACGCAGTCCCAGCCAAAATGCAACAAAAAAATAGCTGGGCATTGTGGCAGGCACCAGTAGTCCCAGCTACTCAGGAGGCTGAGGCAAGAGAATTGCCTAAGCCCAAGAGCTGGAGGTTGCTGTGAGCTGTGACACCACAGCACTCTACCGAGGGTGACAAAGCGAAACTCTGTCTCTAAAAAAAAAACCACCTTTCCTTCCCCACAACCACCACAGGGAGCCCCCTTGTCAAGATTTGATCCCACCCACAGGTCGGGTGGAGGATGTCTTAGGAGAAGCAGGAAAGGAGAACCTGCCATGAGGGAGAAGAAGGACATCTGGGCTGTGTCTTAATTTTTTGCAGACCTCATGCATTAAATCAAACTTGTTCTAGGCAGACCCAGGTTCAATTCCACTAGCTGGTTGTGCTACCTTGGCTATATTTTTTCTTCTCTCCAAGCCTCAGTTTCTTCACCCCTAGAGTGAGGACCTGGTCATTCAAATTGCACTGTGCCACCAGGGCACAGGAATGGTAGCAAGCAGGTGTCACTCCTTTTTTTCTTTTTGAGACAGAGCCTCGGTAGAGTGCTATGGCATCATAGCTCACAGCAACCTCAAACTCCTGGGCTAAAGCGATTCTCTTACCTCAGCCTCCCAAATAGCTGGGACTACAGGCACCTGCCACAATGCCCCAGCTATTTTTTGCTGCAGTTGTCATTGTTGTTTAGCTGGCCTGGGCTGGGTTTGAACCTGCTGCCCTCAGTGTATGTAGCTGACGCTGTAACCACTGTGCTATGGGCACTGAGTCAAGCAGGTGTCACTCTTGAGGGGCCCGAGTTCCAGCTGGCAGGCAGCTGGCAGCCCCCTGGGTGAAGAGAAAAATTGCAATGCAGGCCAGCAGGTGCCAGGACAGGAATCAGGATAAAGTGCTCGGGGCAGGGAGGGGTCAGAAGGAACAGCTGACTATCTCCTGGGCCTGGGGCCTTCTGAGCTGGGCCTCGGAAGAAACAGGGATTTGCTGAGAGAAGACATGGAGGAGGAACGGCAGCATGTGTGGAATTTGAGGCAGGACTGGCCCACCATGTCAGTGACACCGAGCAGGGTGGGTAAACAGGACTATTTGTGTGTGATTGTGGAGCATGGCTGAAGGGGGGGGGGTGTGGGGGGCCATTGTTGATGAGCCATATTCTGCCACTGTGGATTCAGGGTTTGAATTCCACAGGAGCATAGATCTGATTGTACCTCCTGGCTTGTTAGCTGTGTGACCTTGGCAAGCTACTTAACCTCTCTGAGCTCCCAGTTTCCAAATCAGTAAAATGGGGTTAAGAGGGCAGATTGCTGGTCGCCTGTGCAATATCCATGTCCCTGTCTTCTTCAGTGGCAACAGACATTTCCCGGCTTCCCATGCATATAGGTGTGGCCTTATAACTAACTGCTGGCCAAAGAGATGTGAACAAAATGGTTGGATGAGATTTCTGGGACTTCTTAAACTCCTTAAAAAAGAGCCTTCCTCTCTCCTGCTCCCTATTTGGAATACAGACCAGGTGGCTGGAGTTCTTGCAGCCTTGTTGACCATGAGGTAACTCTGAGGACAGATGCCGCGTGCTAAGGATGACAGCCCAAAAAGAGTGAGCCTGTGTCCCAGGTGACTTCAAGGGCCCATGCCAGCTTTGGACTCCCTACTGCTGAATTTCTTTTATGTGAAAGGAAAAGAAGACCCTGAATGTAATTCCTAACCCCATGGAGTGATTGTGGAAAATCTGTGGAGTGACCCAGGCTAATGCTCACTGTGGCCCATCCCTACTGGTGGCTGTCACCATAACCTCATCCTCTTTGCTGCACCAGCCTTCCTGCTATTCCCATCTTCTGGGGACATACCCATCCACACAGGCTTACATCCCCACCTCCCTCGGACCTCCTGTCCCACACCTCTTCCTCCCATAGTTACAGAGATGGAGCCTGAAGCTCAGGCTCCCATCCCCACCTCAGCCCATCCACCTTTCCAGCCCATCTCAGAGGGTCACACCAATGAACACCTGGGATGCCTGAGGTTCTGTCTCTGTGTCTATGAGATGCTGGACCAAATAGAGCCAGCCCTCAGGCCACCCCATGCTGGACTGAGCCTCGCTGCCAAGCTCCTGCCACACAAACCCTGTGTGGCACAGTGGCTAGGGATTGGGCCTCTGGAGTACCGAAGACCTGAGTTTGAATCCTGGCTCTGCCATTTCAACCTCTGTGACCATGGAGAAGCTACTTAACCTCTCTGTGCTCCGTTTCTTTCTCTACTGAGTGGGTCCAATATCGGTACCTACCAGCGGAGAAAATGCAAGTCGCACACCCGATGTCCACTCTCCCCCCACTCCTTGGTAATGAGACACTCATTTAACATTCTAAATTAAAGCCACTGCACCTGAGATTGGCAATGCGTCCCTTCTCAATGACTCAGGGAGGAAAGGAAAGCGGGTGTCAGTCCACTTTACAAATGGGGATGCTGGGGCACAGAGAGGAGGGTCATAAGACAACCCAAAAGTGAGTGGCCAAGCTGAGACTCAAACCCAAATCTCACCCCCACAAGGGCTTTCCCTCTCCCCCTTCATCCCCCCCTCCCCGTCTGCTGTCCCTGGGCCTACCTCCAGGTACTTGACAGGGATCTTGTGCTTGGTGGCATGCGACTGGGCCAGGGGCTTGATCTCTGCCTCGTGCTGCCCCTTCTTCTTAAGGATGCCCCCCAGGGCCGTGAGCACAGTGACACCGTGCTTCTTCAGGTCCTCGGACGCCTTCATCTCGTCTGGTGTCTTCAGGTTCTTGAATTTGTCGAACTTCTCCAGAGTCTCAGGGTGAGCTGTAAAGAGCCTGTGGGCACAGAGCGGGCTAGAGTCAGGAGTGGGGATGTGCGCTGGGGTCCGGAGGTGGCCAGATGCCCCTCTTCCCAGCTGTGTGCCCCTGGGCAACTCACTTCACCTCTCTGGGCCTCAGCTTCCTCATGCAAAGAAAGGGGATAATGCATCCTGATTGTCCCTACACTGTGGACTGAACGGGACAGTACGTGCTGAGCACAGTGGGGCGGCCGGTGTGCAGCGAGTGCTGTAAAGTGCCTGCTTTATCATCTTTACTGTCGTCAGCAGCACCTCCCTCCTCTTCGCTGCCACTGTGAGGTGCAGGAAGGAAAAAGACATCTCTGCATCACCTCACTGCAATTTTCACTCCCATTGTCCCCGAGCTGTTTGGAGAGTAGATCTGGCCGAATGGTATTATGGGTAGGGCAGGAGCACAGAAGCCAGGTGGGCCCCTACTGTGCGTCAGGCCCTACGTGAGGCTCTGCACCAGTATTTCCCTCTGAAGTCATTTGTGTGATTCCCATTTTACAGATGATGAAACAGAGACTCAGAGGGATGACGTCCTGATCAAAGTATTGCAGTGCAAATGTGCAGAGGACCAGGCCTGAGTGACTCAAAGAGTAGCCGTAGCCCACTCTGGGGACCATCTTTGCAGCTTCAGCTGCTTAAAAACCTCTAGCTACAGGAGGCTCACATCCTCCTTCAAAAGCCATTCTGCCCCAGAGCAGTTCTCGGGCCCAGAAACCTCTTACTTATCTTGAGCCCAAGCTCTGACTCTGCACCTCCCAGTCCCCTCACTGCACAGAGAGCACCGGACCCACCTGCCACAAATCAGTGCTCGCTCCTGCCCGGCGCTCACAGAGTCACCACAGAGGCCCTCTGCTGGGGACCCTGAGTAGCCACTCCAGCCCTCCCTGCTGTGAGCAGGTGGGTGCCCACACAAAGGGAGTCAAACGTGGCCCCAGGGTGAAAGTGAGTCCCCCATTTCACTCGTGGGGAAACAAAGGTCACAGAGATAAGTGATTTGCCAGGGTCACGTGGCTAGTGGGAGACAGAGCCTAGATCAAACCCCAAATCAGACAATTCCATAACTCATGCTCTGTCCCTTGTGCCACAGCCCAAAATATTTGGCAAGGGTGCTCCTGTCTGCCCAGGGCTTTCTCTCCTCCTGTCTTCAGTTCCTTGGAAGATTCCTCTTTTGTGGTTTCCAGCTCTGTGACATCCTTGCGATGCCACTATATGGGTGCACTCCAGTTTCTCCCCTGAGCCATTGTGCCCAGAAGTGAGGAAGCACCCTGTTACCATGGTGTCCATCCCAGCGTCCTGTGGGGACGGTAGCCCATGACCAGGATGCTGAGTCCCCCTCTTCTAAATCTGAGCGATTCTCATACAACCTGAGAGCGAGTCCGTGTTTGCAGGAGCCACCTCCCTTGCTGGTCTGCTCTTCAGCTTGTGGTCACCTAAAGCCCCCAGCTCTTCTTCATGTGAACCCCACATCTTCCCATCCTCTCACCAGACCTTTGACGATGACTTGCACCTACATGCAGAATTTACATTTCTCCATCCTGTGTTCCGCTCCCCGTTCCAGGGTTATGAGCTTGGTTAGGACCTCATGGTGAAGCAAGAGACAGTTTCTGATTTTGCAGCGAGAGCACTGGACTGGCACAAGCCAATGCTTCCAGGACACCCAGCAAGGATATGACTATTTTAAGTGTTTTTTGTGTATTAGCTCACTGGGTCCTCACAGCAACACTGGGAGGCAGGTGCTTTCATTACCCCATTTTATAGAAGAGGAGAGTGAAAGGTGAGGCCTCTTCCCCAAGCTCAGCACCAACAGCAGGAGGAGCAGAGCCTTGTGTGTTTCTTCCCCAGCAGGGTTGCCCTTCCTCGCAGAGTCCTGGAGCACAGGCCACTTCCTTCCTTCTCCACTTGGCAGAAGAGAAGGGATGAGGAAGGGATAAAAGAGCCCAGTGGGTTTGGGGCTCCCGCCCCAGTGTCAGGACATGAGCAATCTTAGAGCTTGGCCCAGGGTTATGAATCCCAGGATCCAGGGACAAGAGGAACTTCGAGATAAGCAAATCTAACTCTTCTTCCAAGCACACCATTAGATGCTTTCAACACCATTCTCACTCACTCTGAATCAATAATCAGATCTCCTATCTGGAAAGGGGTCTAATATTGGCTAAGTCCAGCTTAGCAATATGCAAGTGGACACACACAAACCGCACACTTGGTTAAATGAAGGCAGTGATAATACCGACCCACATGGGTGGGACATTTCTGTTCCAAGTGCAGCACACGGATGAATTCACTTTAAAAAGCTGATGGGGCAGGTGCCACGTACCGAGAATTTCACCCAGGCAGGGTGGCTTCATGTCTACACGCCTGTTGATGACTCAGGCTTTGCCACGTTACCCAAAGATGTTTACGTGCAAACCGAGACCTACACAGAAATGTACCAGCGCTCACAAGTGTACACACATTGGGCTGTCACCGGTGCATGCACACACTCACATGTGCACACAGAGTACATGTAAATATCTCCTAGTGCACACACAGAGGCTGGCACTGTGGGACTGGGAGCAATCCCTTCCCCCAGGAGCACGTCTCATGCTTCCCCAGAACACAGCTGTGCCCACAGCCATGACCGATATCACCCCGAGGCCCTGTCCAGAGCCTCGTGCGTCACTGACAGCTTGTCTCTGGCACCTCTCATCCAAGGGTCTCTGAGCTCCTGGCTATTATTATCTGGCAACAATGATCCTTGAACTCCCGCCTGACAGATGCAAGACCTGGCACCCACGGGCAGTGGCCTGAGCTCAGGACGCTGGAAGGAGACTGGGGCAGAAGAGGGCCAAGGACCTAGGATCCAAGGCAGTGGGGGATCGCAGACATTTTGGGGCAACTCCTCCCCAGAAGTCTAGGAGAAAGAAATGAGACTGGGAATTATGGAAGCTGAGTCCTGGTCCCAGCTTTGTCACCAATCTGTTGTGCGACAGGAGAGAAATCACTCAAACTCTCAGGGTTTTGGTTCACCCATGTGTTAATCAAAACCGTTAGTCGAGGTGATTTCTCTGCCTCACCCTCTGCTCTCAGCACCAGCCAGCCGGAGAGAACCCATATTTACTTTAAAGAGTGCAGGGGAATTACACTAATTTGTCCCCAGATTGTTCTGGCACCACATAGCTGCCTGCCTCCCATGAGCCCAGGGTCTGCAGCTGGGAACCTCCAGGGCAGCCACGGAAGGACTCCTGGGCTTTCCTGACAACAGCAACCTGAGAAATGAGCAGATAGAAGACCCTCACCTGTGTGGCGCCTGTGGCTCAGTGGGTAGGGTGTTGGCCCGTATACCAAGGGTGGCGGGTTCGAACCCGGCACCAGCCACACTGCAACAAAAAAATAGCTGGGCATTGTGGCGGGCACCTGTAGTTCCAGCTACTCAGGAGCCTGAGGCAAGAGAATCGCCTAAGCCCAGAAGATGGAGGTTGCTGTGAGCTGTGACACCACAGCACTCTACTGAGAGCAATAAAGTGAGACTCTGTCTCCACAATAAATAAACTAATAAATAAAAGAAGACCCTCACCCTGCAGAAATGGGCAGAGGGCATTTCCCCTGGGGCTTTGGAAGCCTCCCTTCCCTGTGTTTACACCTTCACTTCACTTTCACCTGGTTCATTGGTCTCCAGGCAAGTCAGAGAGAAAAGAGGCCAATTTCCCTGCTGCTCTCGGAACTGAGGCCCAATCAGACACCCACAAGGGGCAGTGAGCACTCTCAGACCCAGAAAACCATCTGCTCCACTAGAACAAAAGAACCTGAGTGCACAGGACCCCATCTCTAGTGTGGGCGGTGTCATACAGTGGGCAAGAGCGGGGATGCTGGATCCCACCTACTGGACTTCAACTCCAGTTCCCCTCTTTCCAGCTGTGTGACCTTGGGCAAGTTACTTAGCCTCTCTGTTAAGTGTGATGTTCGTAATAATATCTACCTCAAAAGGTTGTCAGGCTTAAGTGAGTTAATGATATAGATGAAACACTTAACACTGGGCCTGGCATTCAGAAGGCACTGTATACCTACTGATTATCCTCCCCATCCTCAGTGCCACCTTCACTATCACTATCACCAACACCATCATTTCCCCATCATCATCCCCAGCACAGAAATTTTGGGTTCTGGCTGTAGCTGCCACTGGCTGGTTGAAACACTTAGGCTCAATCTCCTCTCTGTAATGTGAGAAGTGCTGACCACCAACAGTAGTTTTCAAACTCTCCATGGCCTTGAAATCCTTTGTTTCAATAAAAAATGCCAAAGTAAAGCAGAAAAGGTTTGGGAAAGGGGAAGAAAGGCAGACGCCTGGAGTCTACTCAGCAGCCCCCGCTCCTGAGCCCCACTCCTAGAGCCAGAATGTCCAGCTGACCTTCTGGCTTCCAGAGCTTTTGTTTATGGCAATGGCCTCAACATTTTACTAACAGGCTGGGATTAACAGCATTTGTTCTCTTTTCTAATCAGAGGATTGGAGAAATGACCTTTCCAAGGTCAGTAAGAGAGCTCGGGGTCAGTGTCTGGAACAGAACCAAGAGGCCAGCTCCCATGGGGGCATTTGCAGCCTGGGAGTTAGCATCCTCCACCTCTCTTGGAGCCCATGATCCCTAGACCCCACGCACTGAGAGGGCCAAACCAGCTGGCACGGTCTCTGAGCGTCCCAAAGTTTAAGACGTGACAGGGCATCAGGCCTTCTTGGACCTTCCGGGGCCAGCAGCCCCAGGCATCTTGTCTTGTCCTTGGCAGATGGCCCCTGGCCCCTAGCCCCAGGAAGGGGCTCCAATCCTGATGACACAACTCTTTGAGTCTCCTTTAAGACATCCAAGTCACTGCCTTAGGGCTGGCAGCCACCAAATTCACTTCGGAAAGACCTCTGTTCTGCAAGCTCTGTTCTCCTACCTCTTCCCAGCTGTCCCGCCTCCTCTCCTAAAGTAAGGGAGGTCACAGACTCAGAGACTCCTAGGGCCTGAGAATGGGAGGAGATCTCAGAGACCATGGCAGAATATCGCTTTATCAACCAATAGAGAAATAGGACCCAGAGATGGGCAGTGACTTGTTCAAGGTCACACAGCAAATTGATGGGGCAGGAGTTGATACCAAATTTGAGGAGAGATGTTCATCCAATAGAGGCCTGTTGCAGCCCCAGCAGCCAGCTGGCAGGGACAGGAGAAAAAAGACACCAGGGAACACCCCAGGAAGCCACCAGAGTCCGCAGAAAACCTGACCATCCTTCCTTAAGTGTTTCTAACATGGACCACTAAGGGCTCAAACTTCAGACAACAGAGCTTCCAGGACTGGCCATTCTTCCTGGGCAGATGGGAGCCGGAAGTGGACATAGCCCAGGGGACGGAAGGACATCGGTGTGGAAAAGAAAAACTGGCTCTGGCTCATAGCAAAGAGAAACTAATTTGTAATGAAAGCGCCAAGGACAACCCACTCACCGGCGGCAACCCCAGGGTCCACTTCCTCCCAGGGGCAGCAATGCTGATTCACAGCCCTCTAGGCGTTTGACTGAACCAACCCAGAACACAGGGAAGGGGCCAGAAGAAGAGGGGAGGGTATCACCACTGGCGTAGTAGTCAACGGGAAAATGAGATTCTCCGTACAAACCTTGGTCCTCCTCTATTTACAAAACTCAGAATTTTGTTTTCTTTGGTGTATTCTACTGCCTTGCAGGAGAAGGCAGGATATCCTTGGAGACCATATCATTCTGAGCTCTCAAAGGCAACACATAGTCAATGTCAAAGGCCATGAATGGGCTTCTGTCTTCTGTTCTCTGATTACAATGTCTTGAAATATCCCCATTCTGGGCTTAATGTACAGAAGTTATTAACATTTCTAGAACTCAGTATATGCCAGGAACTGGGCCAGGCTTCTTACATATATCATTGTATTTCATCCCCACTACTCCTCTGTGATGTAGGTTTTAGGGTTTTCTTCCATTGTACAAAAGACATTTGGGCTCAGAGAGGTTGAGTACTTTCCCAAAGGTCACACAGCTGCTCAGTCTTGGCAGAGCCAAGTCTAGAACCAGATCTGTCTCACCTTGAAAGCCAAGACACTTAGGGACTTTAATGGGCTTGAGACTCTGGGAATGTTCTTCCCTTTTGAAGCCCCTTTTGTCCTTATCCAGGTATGAGGTGACTGGACAAGATCTTTATTAACTCTGTAATTCTAACATTCTTCCTGGTGAGCTCTAGGTATCCAGGGTCTGATTCTCAAGTTACCCCTGGCTGCTGACATCAGCCTGCAATGGGTTCCTTTCCTGCATTCAATCCTGACACTTAAAAGCAAGCATGCAAACGAACAAACAAAAACAAACAGGGGTTTTAAAAAGCCAACTAGTCTACCCCAGGACAAACTCTCCACCTTGCAACTGAATATGCTTGATCTTTGGGGTATGGGTGACAGGGACGGTGAGATGTCTTCCTTTTACCTGATGAGGACATCCTGTCCGTGGCCGGCAAGGTCAGCCTCCACCTTGCCCCAGATCTTCAGCACTAACTGCCATTCCCCGTCGCTGAGCCCCATGGTGTGGTCTGCAGAAGACAAAAAGAGCAAGTGTGGGGTGACTGGGTGTTCTGGCCCTGCAGCTGGAATTTGAGGCTGCTTGGCCTCAAAGGGACTTTTATACCTTCCCGATGCACGACACAGATCACCTGATGGCTCCCTCTCTCTCCTCCCCTCCCTTGTCTTCCTCTCTTTCTCGTCCAGGGAGGGGTCTAATCTTTTTCTTTCTCTAGCCCTCACATGGGAAGCTATTTTGGGGCAGATGCCATTGTGGGGAGGCAGGACAGCTCAGGCTACAGGGGCGGGGTGGGGGGTTGTGTCTGTGGAAAGAGTAGGGAGGAGGTTGAGCCACTGTCTGGACTCTCCTAAGCTGGCAGAAAGGGCACCACCAAGGCCAATGCCAGCAGCCTGAAACCCAAAGCTCCCTGCGGTCAGTCATCCCAAGGAGACCTGTCATGTTTCTAAGCTTGGGCACCAGGTGCCCTGGCTGGCCCCAGGACAGGCCTGGCCCTCAGCAGTCTCCTCGTCACCTTCCGCCCATGTCGCCAGATGCCCCACACCTCAGCCAGCAGTGATGGGAAGGAGCCTGGATGGGTTCATGTGCACGTAGTCGAGTGCACCCAAGCAAGTCCATGATCTCTTAGAGAACTCCTGGCCCTGTGGTCTTGTTCAAATGTCTCCCCCTGGAATGTTTTGCTTGATGTACTCCTTCAAGGCACAGTTAGTTGCTCCTTCTCTTGTTTATCTGAATTGGCTCCTGTTGCACAGCTTACCTCTGCACCCCAGTTCCTTGTTTCCATGCCAACTGCTCTGTTAGCATAATGTCAGCCGGTACCCATAGAGACCCCGCTGGGTGCCAGCCCCTATTCCAGGCACTTTACATTTGGTAACTCATTTAATCTCTCAAGATCCCTATGTGATCGATCCTGACGTTAGCCCCATTTAACTGGGAGGAATTTAGGGAATCTCGCCACGGTACACAACCATTTGACGCAGAGCTGGGATCTGCACCCAGGAAATCAGGCCTCCACGTCTCTGCTCCTGAAAACCTTATTTTGGTTTACATGAGGGCAACGGTTTGTTTTATTAATCTGGGTATCTATCGGGCTTCACACGATGCCCTGTGCCAAGTTTGAACTGAATAAATGTTTGTTGAGTCAAAGGATGATGGTCTTTCAAGGAAGTCAAGTGGAGGATGATTAGGCATCATTTACATCCACGCCTCCCTCTCTCCCTCTGCACACGTACCCATCTGCTCTCTCACCCATCCATCACGTCATCCCTCCTTCTATTCACTCATCTGTTCATCCATCCTTCACCTCTTTTTTTTTGAGACAGAGTCACACTATGTCACCCTTGGTAGAGTGCCATAGCATCACAGCTCACAGCAACCTCCAACTCTCGGGCTTAAGCAATTCTCTTGCCTCAGCCTCCCAACTAGCTGGAACTACAGGCACCTGCCACAACACCTGGCTATTTTGTCATTATTGTTGTTATTGTTGTTTAGCAGGCCCAGGCCGAGTTCGAACCTGTCGGCCCCGATGTATGTGGCCAGAGCTGTAACCATTGAGCTACAGGCTCCGAGCCCATCCTTCACCTCTTATCTACCCGTCCATCATCCCTCCACCCATTCATCCATTCTCCTATCTATTCACTCATCCATCCACCTGCTCATCCATCCGCCCATCATCTGTCTATCATCCATCCATCTATCCATCCCACAAACCACAAAATCAAACAAAACACATCCTGTGTTCAAGAAACTCACTGTCTCCTTAGGGAGATAAGAGGAATTCAAAATGTGGCACAGTTTATTTAGAGCTAAGATGAAGGTGTGTACAGGCCCTTCCTTCCATCTGCACAGGGCTTTGCAGTTTACAGAGTACCTTCCTGGCAGGACTCCATCTCATCTTCACAGCGTCCCCAGGAGCTAGCAAGCATCACCCCAAGTTACAGCTGGGGAAGATGAGGTGCAGAAAGCGTAAGTGAGTGTTTGGGCTGTCCTGGGTCTGCAGGGCTGTGTCAGTGATGACTGCTCCTCCCACACAGCTCTTTGTAAAGGTGACTGCCAGGCCCCAGTCCCTGCTGAGGCTCAGACAGAGGCGATTATGTTCTGGGACCACACCATTCTCCCTGCTGCCAGCCTGAGCGTCATCTGAGCCGCCAATGCCCATCAGCCCTGCCAGTCAGATCCCCCTTCAGAAAGTGAATGGGAATGTTTGGCCAGCACGGGTCAATAAATAGGAAATGTAGCCAGAAAAGGATCAAATTCAAATAATCCCTAAACTTGGAGTTCCCCAATGCAACCTTGGGTGTAGAACACCCTCCAAGGGATGAATGGGAGGGTCCCTGCAAAGCCTAGCCGGTTACCATGTGGGCTTGCCAGGAGCTGCCCACTAGGCTGCTGAGTGAACTAGCCCAGGACAGAAGGGCTCTCGCATGACCCCTGTGTCTCCTTCCAGCAAGTTCTGTTCTCTGGATTCCCAAGGACCAAGAGGGTCAGAGGCACACCTGACGCCTCTTCCCAGACCACCCTGCTGCTGCGCTGGCCACCTCCAGCCCTGTGCAGCCTTATCAGTGGAAGATGTGGTGGCAAATGAGAAGCTTGGAACGCCATGGTTATGTTAGGGGGCTGTCATTCATTCATTCATCTGTTCCTTAGTCCATGTATTCATTCAGAGCCCACACACACAGGGCCCAGGCTGAGCAGCCCAGCATCGGAAGGCAACTCCGAGTGGGTCACTTGCTGGAGGGTGAACCCAGAGTGGGGGAGAACAGTGCAGAAAGGAGGGGGCAGCAGCAGGCCACACCAGGCCAGCTCTGGTCACCTGCCCCATGTGCTGGGAAGGCCCTTGGCCCACATCCCAACACCACCGTCAGAATCGACAGCCCTGGGTTCAGACTTGAGTCCTCAGCACCAGCAATCCTTAATTACATGGTGTGCATGTGGCTTTCTTTTTTTTAAACATGGCTGTCACTCTGTACCCCAGGCTGGAGAATAGTGGCATGACCGTGAGTCACTGTAACCTCAAACTCTGGGGCGCAACCAATCCTCCCACCTCAGCCTCCCAAATAGCAGGGACTACAGGTGCGTGCCACCACACCCAGCTAAGTTTTTGTTAGTTTTTGTAGAGATAGGGGTCTTAACTATGTTGCTCAGGCTGTTCTCAAACTCCTGACCTCAAGCAATCCTCTCATTTCAGCCTCCCAAAGTGATTACAGGCATAAGCTATTTCATCCAGCCTAATTTTTCTATTGTTTATAGAGATAGGGTATCACCATGTTGTTCAGACTTATCTTAGACTCTTGGCCTCAAGTGACTCTCCCGGTTCAGCCTCCTAAGGAGCTAAGACTATAGGCATGCACCACCATGCCTGGCTGATTTTTTTTTGCAGTTTTTGGCCAGGGCCGCCACCTCTGGCATATGGGGCCTGCGCTCTACTCCTTTGAGCCACATGAGCCAATTATGTTTTTAGTAGAGATAGGGTCTCACTATGTTGCCCAGCCTGATTTCAAATTCCTGGCCTTAAGTAATCCTCCCATCTTGGCCTCCCAAAGTGCTGGTTTTATAGGCGTGAGCCACCATGCTCTGCCCAGTACGCAGCTTTCAAATGCTGTCCAGCCTGTGCCCACCTGAGGGTCTCAGAACAACCCAGGGAGGGGGTTGGGCAGGGCCAATTATTACCTGAATCCCCAGCTCCTCCCCCATCTTCACTGTCCCCATTGCCTGGGGATAGCCTGAGTATTTAAAATCTCATCAACTCCTTAGGAACACTGAAGTGTTTAATGTGGAGCTGTCAGCCGCCTGCCAGGCGTGCCCATTAACTGGTGTGCTCATGGAAACCCATGGCTTTGAAGTTGACAAAGCTTTTAAGTTTTACCATTTAAGCTAATGGGAAGGTACCGACGTCTGTTTGTACTTACACATCTCTACAACAGAGCCCGTTACCTAACGGTTGCTATGGCTACCTGGAGTCGCCTGCTCTGTTTGGGGGCTATTATTATCCTGGTGGCAGCCTTCACTATGGCCGGGGCAGGGAAGCAGTGGACACAAAATAGGAAAGCCAGGCTGCCCTTGTGTGCAAAACTTTTTACAGCCTTACACTCTCACGCCACAGACACACACACACACACACAGAGGCAGGTTAATTTGACACCCAAAGGGACAAACCTGGATCCTATCAAGTCAGACCTGTGCCCTCCTCTTCCCCCCACCCTGTCTTTCACTGCAAAATCTCTTAAATCCAAAAAACCTGAGACTTGTAGGATTCCCCTCAAGTAATCTTCGAATTCTTGAGATCCCAGAATAAAATTCTGCATTGCCAATGCCTTCAACTGTCACTACTCTAGAAATTTGGGTTCTAGATTCCCAAATGACAGAAAGCTAGAGACAGGAGTCTAGAATTACATGGCCATCATGTCTTGAAGCTAAAAGAAGCCTTCAATGGTATATTGTTCAATTCCCGTGAGATGTAGTTCTCCCTAGAGACCTTCACCTGGCGTCTGCTTGAATACTCCTAGGAGCAGGGAACGCAGTACCTAAGGCTTTACAAAGTCTTCTTTATGTTGAACCAAAAGATGCCTTCTCATCACCCTCAGCACCTTGTTCCTGCTCTGCTGGCTCCTTGGGGGTATAGAGGACCAGCCACGTCTCTCTCACAGCAGGCTCACCTAAGACTTTCTTGTCTAGACTAAACATCCTGGAACTTTTACTGAGCACCCTCCCCAGGTAGGTAGGAGCCCCAGTCTGGCATAGAAGGATGGCTTCTGCCATCTTCAGCCTCTGTGACCCTCCCCTCTGGTCACAAGCACACAAAGAGAATGTGCCAGCCAGGGACTTCTAGCACCCGCCTGCACAGATTAGAGCCTCCAGGCTGCTGTGCACCCAGCCTCAATATTCTTGAGGCCAGAAAGTCCAGCCTAGGTGACCTGGGAACTGGCCAGCCCATGGGCAGCCAATAGCCCCCCATGAATCTGGGAGATTATACTTTAAGACTCCACAAAGGGGAACAAAGATGGAAAGAGGGAAAGGGCTTTGGCTCCTCAAAGCCCGGGGTCCCCCT